TGTAGGCCGCACCCCCTAGCGGCAGAAGCTCGTACTACATCCGGTTCGCCCGCTATTGACACAGTCTTGAAACTTTCCGATCGCACCTCGTATAACAGAGTTGCAGATAATAGCATGTGTGAATTTACTTGATCTTGATTACATATGAAGAAATCTTTTGTTCTTGTATAACGTACCAAACAGGGACCTGGGCGCACATGTGGATGGCTTCATAGCAGTAGTGGCTCATACCATAGTTCTTGGGGCCACAAGCGAAGCTAAGGTGACTGGTAGGCGTGCGGATGTTGTACTTGCGGCTCACTATGCCTCACAGGCAGCCCTACGGCTCTTGAAGCCAGAAAATGAGGTGAGTATGCTTGAAGTATATGAACAGAGGCATGCACTTGATTCTAATATTGTATTTTACCTATATGCCTGTTGTTTCTACTAGAGCTGTCATGATTTATTATTTAATCAGTCTAATTAATGTTTAGGTGTTCTTCACGCACTAGCAGGGGCAAGAACACAAGGGACAGTGTGTTTTCCTGTATATGTTGTTCTTTTGCTAGGAGGTAGGCAGCCTGCATGAGTGGGGTTTATTCTTGCACAAAATTGGCAACCTTTTTCTTTATAGTTAATCCTGTTGTTACTGTAATTATTCTTAATTTCATTGTTTCTTTTATTCTTGCTCTGCTTGTTATTCCTTGGCCTTGCCTTCGCCGTAGCCTCTGCCATCTCAGTTTAGATCTTCCAGAACTCAGGAGGCCTCAAGGGGACCAGGACTACTCCCCAAGCGGCTTTGCCACCCATAGGACTAGGCCTCTGCCTCCATGCATAGTCCTAAACATGATGTTTTCTTGGTGGGCTAGTGGTTAGTGTGCTCGCCACTAGACCCAAGGTTCGCGGGTTCAATCCTGGCCGAGGTCGATGGATTTTTAAGGGTGATAAAAGTACTTAGCACAACTTTCTTCGGAGGGGAAGTAAAGCTGGAGGTCCCATATCGAAGATTTACGGCATATAAAAGAACCTTACGAGCATGATACAACATGTTTCATAAGCAAAATTCAGTGGCCATTTCTCACCCAAGTCTCCTGATTTACTGCTAGATGGCTCTAGCAGTCAAATCTGGATTGAGTAGAAATTGTGCAGTCAGTGGACTGGTCACTCACTACTCACAAATGCACACTTCAGAAGACCAAGAATCCTCCTAATTGGGGAGGTCTTTGCCCAAAAATTGGCCAAAGCACCATAGATGATGATTGTAGGATTTGAGGTTCTTATGGTGGCAAGTATGAAGAGGCTGTCTTCTGGGTTATAATGCCTTTCTTGCCAAGGTGGTGCTTGCTGCCTCCATCAACAGGGTTATCATTGCCCTGATGATAGAGACAGCAAGTACCTGTAAAATGTTGGTAAACTTCTACCAGACTACATGGCATTATAACCTAAAAGCAGCCATCTTCAGGATTTTTTATTTAACATCTGGATCCTTACCACCCAAGGCTCTCCCCCATGGTGCTTGCCCCAGTGGGGCCTAGGTCCCTGTATTTCCTGTTCCTGAAGCTCCTTCACTCCCCCCTGATATTCTATCCAATGCCTAGCCTATCAGGATTTTGGAAATCCATTTTCTGCTCATGCAGGTCTTTGCCCCCCTTGAGGCTGCCTTACTTAGGTACACTGCCCAATAGATTACATTCAACATTCTCACCATTGAGGGAAACTCAAATCTCAGATCATTTGTGCCTAATCGTGGACATTTTTGTTCATTACGTCTGTCAGTGTGTGCCAACTGCTGAGCAGGTTTGTGGCACATTGCAAGATCTCCTTATCCTGCATACCTCGAAAAGGTTTTGGAACACACAGCTGTACCTATTTCAGAAATGCAGCATCACTAAATTGATTTACCATGTCTGGTGACACTTTACTTGCCTTGAAACTTGCAGCTGCTACGTTCAAAGAAATTGCAACAAAATTTTATGAAAAAAAAATTGGTTGTTCTCCGTGCATGTGGTGATATAAGCAAACATTTCTTAACTCTGAAATGAACACACAAGAAATCACCTACAGCATGGAGATGAGTTCAATTAAAATGACATTTGAACCACAGCAGTGTGCCACACTTTGTCCACCGCCAGTATTTGCTTTCAAGTGAGGCTGGCATTAAATTTATTTTCTTTCGTGTTTGGTGTATTTGTTTTTATGAATGTATTAAAATGCCATGTGATGTGCAAAATACTGTAGTTAGGATCTTCAAGGTAAGAATTGTGGAGTATGTTTCTGAATTTAACAACTTTTGCAGTATTATGACCCTTGCTTACTATAATCTCGTGTAAGACTTGAGGTTCTCACAGCGGGGAGTATGAAGATTTCCGTCTTCTGGGTTGTTGCGCTGTGTAGTCTGGTCGATGTTAACCAACGTTTCGGAGGTCATACTGCCTTCGTCATCAGAGTATGAAGATTTCTGTCTTCTGGGTTGTTGCGCTGTGTAGTCTGGTCGATGTTAACCAACGTTTCGGAGGTCATACTGCCTTCGTCATCAGAGTATGAAGATTTCTGTCTTCTGGGTTGTTGCGCTGTGTAGTCTGGTCGATGTTAACCAACGTTTCGGAGGTCATACTGCCTTCGTCATCAGAGTATGAAGATTTCTGTCTTCTGGGTTGTTGCGCTGTGTAGTCTGGTCGATGTTAACCAACGTTTCGGAGGTCATACTGCCTTCGTCATCAGAGTATGAAGATTTCTGTCTTCTGGGTTGTTGCGCTGTGTAGTCTGGTCGATGTTAACCAACGTTTCGGAGGTCATACTGCCTTCGTCATCAGAGTATGAAGATTTCTGTCTTCTGGGTTGTTGCGCTGTGTAGTCTGGTCGATGTTAACCAACGTTTCGGAGGTCATACTGCCTCCGTCATCAGGGCGATGAATATGAATATTCATCGCCCTGATGACGGAGGCAGTATGACCTCTGAAACGTTGGTTACTATAATCTCATTTATGATGAGATTTGTGTACAGAATTTGTCATGCCACATGGTTACCAAGTATTTATTTTTGTTCCTTATCAGTTTTATCAGTTGCTATTCCATTTTTGTCATTCACTTTCCCTCCTAATAAGTTATGCATCCTCATGGTCTTCACATTTTTTCACCCTTTGTTCTCTCATCTCACTTTCTGACTGTTGGATGGGTTTAGTCCGTAAATGATTGAAATAGTTGGCAGTATTTTGCTGGTTGCGCCAGCATATTGTTCTTTGTAGGCACACAAATGCAACTGATTGTGATTATATACACCTGTATCTATTTGTACTTAAGTTTCTTACTCTGTTGCGAACATGGTGATTGTATTCAAACTTAAATGCATTCACATAATGCGAGTTATTTGCGCAAAGAGAAGTGCAGAAAACACATTCATTTTGGAAGAGTCCACCAGCCGTGTGAAACAGCAAAAAATGGGATAATTCTGTAACTATTCTTGGATTTTTGCCTGTTACTGCACAGAGTATATTGTCTATAATGTTTTCATTTTTAAACAAAGGACTGTCCCTGTTCAGTACATTCACTGTAAATGCCTGAATTTGTAATGTAACCATTTATCCCATTTGCCATCCCCAATTAACAACGCAGCTCTGCAAGAAGTGGTTTCTTACTGAAGTAGGTTTTATTTATTAACCCTTCAGCGTGGGAGCATTTAAATCCGAAGTCTATACTGTGCTGTGGGAGGAGTTTCTGCTTGGGGATTTAATTTTGAGCTGAAAGTGCAACATTTTACTTATATGGGCACAACTTCCCTAATAATTGATGAATTTTAATGAAACTTTGAACAAAATGTTCACAACACGCTATGCTACAATTGCTGACAAATTGTTCTCTTTGCCCTACATAGTTGTCCATGTTCTCCCATGTAAAAGCAGTAGGACGTGCCACACTCGGTAAACTGCTCCCACTTTGTTCACCGTCATTGTATTCATTTTCAGATTCGTCACATGTAAGAAATTCACGAACAGGTAAATCATCGATTACACTTGATTCATCATCTGAATCGAACACGCTAAATTTGGGGTTTGTCGACAATTCTAGCAATGTCTTGAGGAGACAAAAACGCCTGCTACTCGAAGCCATATTCACGGCTGACTGACGGCAGATATGTACTATAGAAGTCTGTTCATACCAAGGGTAAGAACAGAGAATTCATTGTCTAAGGTCGTTGACATCATATACCGTTAGAAAGCTTGGAATGTGTCCTACACAGCCGTCCTAACCTTAACTATATTACTCCATTCGTCTTCCCTAGAGAGAGCCACAAAGCAGAGGCTGAATGAAGTTGAGTACAAAAATCGATCTATATTTCAAAGTCGAAAAACACTGGTAAAATCGATCTGTCAGAGTCATGTTATATATCAATCGATAGCCAGCTTTTTTCTCTACACGGGTATTGGATCCAGAATACATAAAATACAAGGACAGTCGCTACGAAGAAGGAGAAGTCTTAGCGCGCATTATGCGAGCAGTGCTCGGCACTCCACGCCATGGGATGAATACGTCATGACGAGCGATGTTCGGCACTCCACGCTGAAGGGTTAATGTAGAATTGTTGGTGTACAGTGTTTTTACAAGTAAGTATTCCACAAAGTTTTCTGTGGCGCCAGTGGAAAGAAAGTGGCACGACACTCTGTCAGACTTGATTATAATGCTTAACAGTACATTTGCCACAAGTGTTGGTGGATGGCTGCATGTGGGGTGACATTTTACAGGGATATTCTCATTGTAATTACATACCGGGACACTGTATCAGGGTTTGACTGTACTATTTGAACACTGTTAGTCATATGGTAAGTGTTCATAAATATTTGATGATCTGCAGACCTCAGGTTGTTACACACTATTAAAGGTATTCTCTTGCAAAGCTGTGTTATACGTAATTTCAGAGTGGTCTCTCATCATGTATGAATAGTTCCGTACATAGAACACAGTGCCTCAAATTCGTAGCGTGATCTTCTGTATATATTTTGGGCTTGTACTATATGTACAGGAAACTGATGGTGTCCAAATGAATGTAAAAAAAAACATTTAGTTATCTGTTGTTTGCTATTAAAATCATATTATGCATTCTTTGTGCAAAGGGCAGTTATGTCTGTCCGTCTCCATGTTTCAGTTCAAGAACAGCCACACGATTTATTTTGATGAAATTTGATATTGAGAAGTTTCACTAACATCTGTCAACAAATGCTGATTTTGGTTAACATCAGACCATAATAGCCACTTTACATGAAGAACCTATACATAAGATGTAAAGAGGTATGGCTGTTGTTCACTGAAATATGTTTTTAAATTACTTTTTCTGGAGTGTCAAAACAGTTTTAAGTCGTGAATCATTTGATTTCCAGACATACGCAGTGACGGATGCAGTACAAAAAGTATGTGAGGCTTACAAATGCAAGCCTATCGAAGGGATGCTGAGCCACCAGTTGAAACAGTTTAAGATTGATGGCGAGAAGACGATAATTCAGAACCCAAATGATGCTCAGAAGAAAGAGCATGAGAAATTTGAATTTGCAACACATGAGGTTTATGCTATGGATGTTCTTGTTAGCACAGGCGAAGGAGTGGTAAGTTTTGTTTTATTTCTTTGACTGTGGAAATAAATGTTTGTGGTCATTATTAAATATTCTGTAATGAGGTTTTATTTTGAAGCCCACTCTCTAGTTCTCTGTATGTTTATTCTTGCTGTTACTTCCTGGTGGTTAGTTACCTTTGAACCTGCCACGGTGGTATAGCGGTTAGAACGCTGGCCCTGTAATCCTGGGGTCTCGGGTTCGATTCCCGGCGGTGCCCGAATTTATAACTTGTGTTGGGCAAGGCCGTGGTCTAGGCAACACGAGTTTTCCTCTGTGGCATCCCAACAATTACTCCATTCACACACAGAAGAAGGCAATGGCAAACCACTTCTGGATCATCTGCCAAGAACGTATATGAACAGGTCCCAGTCCGAGAAAAGGATGGAAGGATCCTGTTCATATGGACCTGTCGTCAGACAGAACACGAATAATAATAATAAAAATAAGTTGTAAGTTTATGACACTGAAACGTGGTTATCTTTAATTTAATTTAGATCAATTTTAAACAGGAGTACAGTAGCGAACTACCGCCTTGAATGTTTACTACAAACTGCTTCCTGTGAAACAAGTCACGTTAGTACTTCTAAAAATGTAACAATTCTAGCTGAAACGTGAATTTTGTGAGACGGTTGGTTCTTTTACCAGCGAGAAAAGTTACCTTTGATCATAGTTTGATGTCCTGCACATGTGTGCAAGTCAACCATACCGGTTTCTGTGATGTCATCGATGCTTTTCTGCCCCCCCCCCCCCCCCCCCAAATGCAAGTAATGAGTGTTGTACTTATGTCCACTTAAAAATACGACTTCATAAGGAACATACGAGCAGGTAATTCCTATTGCAGGGTCGTGAACTAGATACTCGGGTGACCATCTACAAGAAAACTGATGAGGCATACCAGTTGAAACTGAAGGCTTCTCGAATGTTCTACAGTGAAGTAACACACAAACATGGTTCCATGCCTTTCAATCTTCGAAGCTTTGAGGATGCAAAGAAGGCCAAAATGGCGGTTGTGGAATGTGTGAATCACAAATTAATCGAACCTTTCCAAGTACTTTATGAGAAATCTGGTATGTTGCTTGAGTATGATAATCTTAATACAGGTTAGGTTACAAAATGTATGCACTGTATGTCGTAGGTTACTCAGTTGCTTATTCATGTTATGGTACTTGATTTTAGTTCTTAAGATGTAGTTTTCTAAATTTTTAAACTTCAGCTGATAGAATCCAAGGGTTCAATATCACCAACACTAAAACTCACCTGTTATGATCCAGATCAATCCACTGCACATCCTTATAGTATGTTATGTATCTTAAAAAATAGTCATGAAACTTATATCTATGTTAGCTGCGTTGTCAGCATTCTGAGTGTCAGACGACAATGTATGATGTGGGGCGTGTTGGACAAAGCTGATGGTTAAGTAAACATTATCTGATAGTTCTTTCTGTGTCTGTAAATTTAAACAAAAATAACATTGTTCCAACTACTACAGTGTGTAATGTGAAAATGATTCTTACGAGGCGCGTCCACAAAGTAAGTTTCCCACTCGTCCCACAGCTAGCAAACCTTATATTGCGCGAAGCGACTGTGCGTACGTGGTAGAGCAATGACGTAACATGGCGCATGCACTAACGGCACTTCCCGCGTTCTCACAGTAGCATCGTTGCAGCTGTTGAAGATGGAGGTTCTTATTCCAGCTCCCGCCGACTGTGAAGTGCGGTCAGTGATAACGCTAGGCCGCACACGGCTCGACAGACAGCAAGTCTCCTGCAGGAGTTCAGCTGGGAGGTGTTTAATCATTCACCCTACAGCCCGGACCTCGCTCCCAGTGATTTCCATCTTTTCCTACACCTCAAGAAATTCCTGTCCGGTCAGCGTCAGCGTCAGCGTTTTGAGAATGAAAGAGAGGCGGAGATGGTTGTCACACAGTGGTTCCAATCCCAGGCGGCAGACTTCTACGACACAGGTATTCAAAAGTTGGTCCCACGGTATGACAAATGTCTCAAATCCGGTGGCGAATATGTTGAAAAATAGCTGGACACTTGCTGTATCTGTTGCAATAAATATTTACATGACAATAACTGGAAAATAAGATGGAATAAGTATATCGAGGCAGAAGCATAGTTTAAAGGGCAGTAATACATTTCTTTGGAAACAAGTTATTTTTGAGAAGTCTCGTTGCTGTCTTACATTCCTTAAGATGTAGCTGACAAATACTTTTACAAAGCTGGTGTGTATGTACTCCGTAAAATAAGAATAAGTGAAATATGACAGAATATTTGTTGTATTTTCAGGTGAATTGGTGGCTCATTTCAAATTTACAGTTTTATTGATGCCTAATGGTCCGCACAAGATAACAGGCCTTCCATTTGAGCCAGAGCTCTGCCAGTCAGAGTACACCATCGGTGACCCAGAATTGAAGGTTTGTAACTCTCGTCCTTTTAGACCGCATGTAGGAATATCTTTATGGTGATTAAACCACAAAGATGCAAACTGTAGTTGCAATTTTTTTATTACATGAGGAATGCACGTAGTACGTGGCAGAAGGCTGAATACAGTAATTGAATTTATGCCGATTCTGTCATAAATTCTGTTTTTCTCTTATCTGTATTTCATTTCCTTTTTTTATTGTCACTAGTTTTCATATTGTGGAGATTTAAGAGAGGTGATGTTTTTATGGTAGGTGTCGCTAAGAAGTCATGAAATGTAACGTTAAACTTTATTAACTAGAGGAAAGGGCTTGTCCGTTCAGATGTGTTCATTTACAGCACAATGCGCGCCACACTGGCGGCTGTTAATGTATACCGGAAGTATGCGCATTGTACCTGAGAGAAGTGAACCTTAATAGTTTTATTTGCATTCATCAAATGTGCCTATTAAATATTTTCATGTTCACTTTTGTGAATGTACAGTTTAAATGTTGTTTACATAATTGTTGAACATTTGAAGAAATTTGTTTGTTTGTTTGTTTTGAGATATTTCCAATTTAGTTGTAAGCAATATGGAGAAAATGGGTCCTGTCAACACTGACGAGATACTTCAGGTTTTGACCAAGCCCACGTCAGATGTTGATGAGGACTCGATGGAGGCAGGGGAAGGAAACAAGACACTGAAGAAGGCATTTGAAAAGAAGTAACAGATAGGATGAAGAGTTTAAATCTGGATAAAGTTAAAAAATGCTAAATGGAGGAAATAATTCTGTCCCAAGACAACTGGACTTGTTCCTTTAGTAAAGCTATCCATCTTCCATGAATAGTGCTAAAAATGCATTTCGTTGCTGGAAGCACTTATTCACTGAAGAAATGTGGTTCAGCACACTAACAAATATATTATAGACTCAGAGAAATGTATTCAAAACAAGGAGACACAAATTTACTAGCAGAAGTGAGATAAAAACCTTCGCTTTGGCCTTTCTGCCTTGCGTGATACATTTCAGCACTAATGATGTTTGTGCTAGAGATTGAATGGGTGTTGAGCTATTACATATGGTAGTGTCTCAAAAACCATGGTTCCAATTTTTATTATTCTGGTGACATGCAGACCCAAAGCAGTCACATTTTATGACGGTGCAAAAGGCAGTGGGCTTCAATGATGACAGGAACACTCACTGGTGGCATCTGCTCATATTCCATGTTGAACACAGCTGCAGTAAATGTGCTTATCAAATACAGAAGTCGAACCTGCATTGGGCTGAGAAAACATTTCTTGAGAACTCTTCCTCAACAGCTTGTTCAAGAACAGTGTCCTGCTTCTCAGATTCCTCAAGATATGGGCAAAGAATCATAGAAATGTATAGGAAATGATCAATATAAGTCTTCTCTAACATTTGAGAAAAGAATGTCAGCTGTGACCATTTCATGTGATTCTTGTTTTTTTTTGAGGGATGAAGCCTCCAATTAATATTCTGCTTATATGTTAACTTGCATGCTGGATCTGATAGACCTGTATGCAATTGCAGCTAAATAACACAAAATAATGACAAAGAAATAACTTCTATATTTATGTGAATTATTGGGTATTATACTGTACTGTATATCAGAAAAAAGTAACAAAATCAGTTGCCAGTATAAGCAATTGGGAAAAAAAAGTAAAAGTAAAGTTTGTCCCACTATACGCCATGTAGGCGTTTGGGGTGAGTGGAGGTATAGCTCCTCTCTTCCTTGACCTCGGGACTAGATAGGGGTGAGTGGTCAGCATCACGCCCTGGCCAGCTTTACCCCCGGGAAAGGACCCCCGGTACCCATTGTAGAGGAGGCTGGGTGGGCCCCAGAGCCGGTCTGGAACAAAATAACAATTTCCCTTCCTTCCATGAGACTCCTGGCCTGCATCACAATACATCGCATGTGTTTGCTTGTACGTAGTCTATCACAACATTTCTGAGGGCATGCATATTTTTCTACCACTTGTGTGATGTTTTGACATGCGGGAATACAGTCAGATTTTACTGTTGTGTCAACATTTCAGCTCATCACATAAAACAACTAAATATATGTAATTTTAATAGCATATATTGTGTGTTACAGTCATTACTTAACACATCAGCCAATCCTAAGTCAGCTAAGAAGAAAAAGAAGAAGGCTGAGAAGGCAATAGTGGGAGAGACTCCAGTTGAAGTAGAAGGAGAAGCATAACTGAAGCAAAGAATAATGCAGCTTTGTCACTTTCTGAAATATGAACCTCATTCCTAAACAAGTTGATGGTATGAAAACAGGACCCGTCACAAAGGCAGAAACATGCAATAACCACTGGAGGGAAGGAATTCAAATATTGGTTTAGTTTGCCATTTTCAATAATTCTGTTCCAAGTTGAGAGGAGCACTTTTTGGGGAAATGGGTGGGACATAAAGGTTTGATTTTGAAATTTTTGAGAAATAGTGTTTTCACAAGAGGACCAAAACAAATCCAAAGTGAATTATAGGGAACAGTGATATACCCAGAATTCATGTTTGTGGTTCTTAAGTTTACAGAACAGTGGGATTTGCAGTGGACATCTTTTTGCTTAAAAACAAGTCAACATGAATAATTTTATTTTAATATGTAACACACTTATCTAGAAGTTTTTTAAATACAGTTATGGTGACCAGAACACAGGTGAAAAAATATTGTACTATTTTATTGTCTTGGGACGCAGTGCATTAGGATAAATTATGTGATGCACTGCACAGATCTAAAGAAATGAGGCATGTATTCACTGATATTCCTTGCAGTGCAGTGCATTCTGTCGTCGTAGTTATGAAATACTATTAATTCAATATTAACATTTGAGGCCATTGACTGCCATTGTGGATTATTAGGAACAAATCACTTTCGTTGTTTCTGAAGGAAATTAAAAATTATGTTTTCTTTTTATGAACAAAGTTTATACTCCTCTGTTTCGCATAAATTTTTGTTGTATTTTGTGTCTACATATGATGTACTGCAAAGATCTTTATGGATATGTAACCGACTATTCTCATATAGTTTTTACAGTAATGGAGATTGTGAGCATAATATAAAACAGAGACTGGAGGTTTCTGGATTTATTCTGAAGAGAATTTCCAGGATAACTGTTTTACTTAATAAGTGTTCAGTCTAGTGCATAAGAATGGAAGTATGCAAGTAGTAAATTTTAAATAATAATGTGCTATGACATATTTTGACAGTCCTTACAAGGAATGTGCAGGTATGATACATTTGTCTCTTTCTACTCTAGTTTTTTTTAGCTTTCAAGTAGAAAAATGAAATTTAAATATAATTTGGTTTGTAATGTTTGTGATAGTTTATGAAACTGTGTTGTTCCAAAAAAAAAAAAAGAAACTCTTTGGTGTAGCTTGATGTCATTATGTTCTTGTATTGGCATCATTGGTCTAGTTGATGATTGGTCTAATAATCTAATAACCTTGGAATGAGAAAGCAGATGTTGCATTTATGACACAATGAACTTCATTTTTACAAATTTTAGTTTAGAAGTTATAATACTGGATCAAACAGTGCGTATGTGAAAACTCTGTATTGTCCTCAGTGCACAGTGAAATACACCAGCTAGCTAAAGTGCAAGTCGTGTTTGAATGTGTGTAGTTGAGGAGTGTACATTGTTAAGTTTTCTATGAGATTTTCAGTATTGCGTTTACGCATCCCCCATTCGCTGGCTGACACCATAATGTTGCAGGGTCTTTCTTGAGCTTGTAGGCAGTTGGTCAATAAATTCCCTGCTTATACAAAACCTGAAGATTCTCTACTGTTGTCACAAAAGCCTGCAATTAGATCCTGTTGAGCCATCTCAATAAATTTATTTTAACCCTGGAATGCTGAAGTGTCAGTTTTCAAGAATTTGCATGTTTGCTGACTTTTCGTGTACTTACTGTGTTGACTTCCTCCCCATCTTAATATCTTCAATTCCTTCTCAGTAGTCACAGTAGTGAATGTAATTTTGTATCATTTCAGGCTTTTTTTTTTAATGATTTTGGATCATGAAGAAAGGTGCAATTTTATTTAGTTTTGTAGATTTGAGGCTTCAAGAAACATGCGTAAATCCTGAAGATTTCCTCAGAATTCTGGGAAAACTAAAAAAATATGCAAGCACAGGATAAAGTGGAAATGAATTAAAGGATAGTTTGGGAAGTAGGTCACAAATTGATCTGAAAGAAGAAAAAATAAACAATGGTCAAGAAAAGAATACAAGCAGCAGTATCATAAAACTGAATTAATGGAGTGACACATTGCGATGCATCAAGATGCTTCCAGTAAGACCCCATAATCCAGTATTAAGAGAATTTGCTCTCTCTTTTCTCCTAATTGATGCTGCATGAATATGTAGGATTTGTATACATGTTTAGCATCATTGTCCCACACTCCCAATGAAGTTTTTATATTCTGTGGTTAACGTTACATTCCCACCTGTACCTAGTTTTCCTAAGTTGTTTCTCTCTGTAGTTTTACAGCTAACATTTTGTATGCGTAACTTGTTTCTGGTAAGTGTGCTACATACCTCACCATGTTATTATTATGAAAGTACCAAGAAATCTACAGCAAGACATTTCTCTTTGTGTCCTTGGGTATGAAGATTAATTAGAATGCACAGTCATTGATTTACCATAAGTTTAATCACTGCACATGGGCAACAGTGATGCATATCTGAATTATGTATGAGATTACAAATACCTGTCATGCACTAGAATGTTGGTGACAGATTGAACTATCCTGAGAAAGATGTGTAAAATTTGCACTTGAGATTTAAGAAGCGAAAGTTCTGTTTTAATTTTCCATGAGGAGTTAACTAAATGTGCACAAATTCAAGGAAATCCTAATGTGAGCCCTAAGTAAGTCACCCTCGGTGGAATAGTGGTTAGCGTGCTCACCACTGGACCCAAGGTTCTCTGGGTTCAAACCTAGCCGAGGTCTATGGATTTTTAAGGGTGATAAAAATCGGTAGCACAACTTCTTTCAGAGGGGAAGTAAAGCCGGTGGTCCCATGTCGTAGATTTATGGCATGTAAAAGAACCTTACGAGCATGAACGAGATGTTTCATAAGCAAAATTCAGCGGCCATTTCTCACCCAAGTCTCTCCTGATCCACTACTGCATGACTCGAGCAGACAAATTACGATTGAGTAGAAATTGTGCAGAGGCAGTGGGCTTGTCACCCACTACTCATAAATGCACGTTTCAAAGACAAAGAAACCTCCCACATGGGAGAAGGCCAAGGTTCAATTTCAGGCTGTTGTGCCATAGAAGAAGAACCCTAAGTACAAATGCATTTAGTAAGGATAAATGCTTTATTTGCCTACAGTACTACATTTTAATCAGTCAGTTTCTTTGCCCTTTAGTACACACTACTAAACTGTGGGAGGTATCTTTGGTAGTGTCCCCTGCGTTATGTAGAATAATTGACAACTTTTGTTCCTGTATTTTGCTGTATCATGGATGTTCTTTTAGCAAGAGACATTTGAAGATTGAAAAGGCTTTCATGTGTGTTGATAGAATTTATCAGTATGGAGCAACATCTAATTTTTGTTTGTCTATATAACTTGTGTTGGGCAAGGCCGTGGTCTAGGCAACACGGAGTTTTCCTCCGTGGCATCCCAACAATTACTCCATTCACACACAGAAGAAGGCAATGGCAAACCACTTCTGGATCATCTGCCAAGAACGTATATGAACAGGTCCCAGTCCGAGAAGAGAAAAGGATCGAAGGATCCTGTTCATATGGACCTGTCGTCGGACAGAACACTAAATAATAATAATAATAATAATATTTGAACCACCAGAAATGCACAGAACTTCAGTGCAGATTTGTATTAATGTGTCTCGAGACCTGAGGCAGTGTGGCATCTATACCTTAAGAAAAAAAAAACATCCAACCACTGCCATACAGCAGCTGTTGTGTGCTGTACACTGACATATGCAGAGACAGGTTTCAAAGCTAAGAACAATTTTCTTCATATTTTGCAGTGTGTGCAGCTGGAAATTTGTTATTCTAAATTCTTTCAAAATATTTTGCCTTGTAGTCATATCATAGATGAAATCTACAAGGTACAAGTTGAATTTAAAAGTATACTCCTGGAATTTTCTGTTGCAGTCTTACTGCATGTTCTCAGCTCGGGTGTGGGAGTTCAGAGTGTGGACCTATAAGCTAAATCTTTTATAATGGCTGTGCATCCTGTATGTGTATTTGTAGGCTGTATGAACAATGGAGAAACTAGTTCTGGAGTAACATAAAAGTAAGTTTATTTAATTGTCATGCTCTTATTCAGCAACCAGTCATCCTATACAGTATGACTTACGTGTTTGAGGGAGGAACATTGATTGAAGGTCTTTGAGAACAATGTTTTGAAGAGGATATTTGGATCTGAAGGGGAGGGAGCTGGATCATGGAGAAAATTGCATGACAAACTTCCCAGTTTGTACTACTCGCCAGATATTGTTAGGGTGATTAAATTGGAGAGAGGAGGGGTGCTTACAGGGTATTGATTGGGAGGCCTGGAGGAGGAGACTGCTGGGAAGACCTAGGCAAAGGCGGGAGGATAACATTGAGATGAACCTTACAGAGATAGCAATCGATGGAGAAAACTGGATGCAACTAGCTCAGGGTAGAGTCAAGTGGTGGGCTTTTGTTTTCCATAAAGAAAGTGGGCTATTCTTTGACAAGCTGAGTATACAATTAGTTTTTCAAATAATTTCCTGTACCATAGAGTGAGTGAATAAATAGTAATGATAATATTATTTTTGTGAAAATACAATAGGACTCTCCCACTAGTTATAAAACTGTAATGCTCTTTCCCATTTAAGGCATGTTTACAACTAAAAAGGTGCAAGAATCCACCCATTAGCCTCTCCCTAACTATTGGCCCATCTGCCTGTCTCCATGAAACAACTTGAGAACCACTAAGGAAAATTTCATTATATTTGATATTTGGGAATATTTGCCAGTTGAACTTGTGTATGGACATGAAACCTGGTCTCTCTTAAGGGAAGAACAGGGTTCTTAAGAAAATATTTGAACCTAAGGGGGGATGATGTGATAGAATGGAAAAAAAACTGTATAATGAGAAGCTCCATAGTTTAAGATGCCATTAGGATGATCAAATCAAGGAGGATGAGATGGGATGGATATGTAGCAAGCATGCCAATGTATTCTGTTCTATGAGTAGATGAGAAAGGCACACACAATTCTGGATGGAAAGTGGGTTCAATAAATGTTAATTTCATAGCTCAGAATATTATCTAAAACACATTATTTGTGGGTTCTTATTTTGATTAGTATATCTACCTTTCTCATTTGTCCAATTTCTATAGCACCAAGATTCATGTACACAAAGTCACATTCATAATTCATTTTATTAAAATAATGTCAGTCATATATGGTTATTTCTATTAACATTATGTAAGAATAGCTTATCTATTATAAGTTAGAGCTTCACTGCTGCTACTACTAGTACATTTACTTTAATTATTTTGGAATTTCCTGGCCCTTTAGTGCATTAGGTGTTTTCAGCTGACTCTGTTCCATTTGCTTTGCAACATATTCATAGCCTTGTTTGCTCCACTCGGTTGTCTTATTAGGAAGGTTTCTCAGGAATATAAATGATGCTATTACACCTTTATTCCAGTAATTCTTTGCCATGAAAGAGATTTCATCTACCTTTGGTAGTTCTGGTACCTGAAAACCAAGAAGTTTGTTTTATATAGTAAGTGACTCTGAACTCCTTCAGGTACCATTTTGAATTTTCTGTACTTACTTGATAGGACATAAAGAGAAACAACACGGCCAAAGCTAACGTCAGTATAAAATAATGGGACTGCAGGCACAGTGTATGCTTGAGAAGAAAGACAGGGGGCAGTAGATTGGAGGAAAGTCCATGACCTAATCAAAACATTAACTTTTCTCATTACCACTGATGTTATTAAGTGAATGTATTTATTACATCTGACTAAAAATGTTTCCTTGGGAAGAAATTACACGAATTATGACCCACTCAACATGGTTCTGCAGAACAAGGCATATATGACCTTATTACAGATGAAAGAAGACTGCACTCTGTGTTTTTAGGAACACACAAACTTAAACAGGCAAATACCAGCATCATGGGCATAACAGTATAATGAATAACTACATTCTCTTTCTTTTATAGGTAAACATTACCTCAACAGGCACTTCCTTTACATATGGTGCTAAATTTGTATAAATTGTTGAATAAAGTTCTGCTGTATGTGTACTATCCCTCCATACACCCTCATCTATAGTATAATAAACCACACCACCAACCACACCAACTTTAACTCCAAACCTGGAAAGAAAATACTTGCATTACTTTTTACAGTATTGTAAATGGAACTGCCTTTTCTATCACAGGACAACAAAAAATATGCAGTATGAAATCTCTGTCAAACTGCTCTGCATAACACAAAGCTGTATATTTAGCAAAAGGGCTCAGTTTAGTGCATTGCCTGATGTAGGTTTAGCAGAACACACACACTAAACTGGCCTAACACAATTAACATAAACAGGTACATGACACCGTCTTGTAATACAGTATGTAACAAGTGATTCTAACATTACAATGCCTTATACTTTTCTAATTAACTCTTCAAGTAGGTCGACGCTGTATGCAACATAGCAACATTCGCATATCATATGTAGACGGAACACTCTGCTGTCTACTGAACAATATCACTGGCAAGCCATATCACGCGAAAATGTCAAAAAACGTTTTTAACATTCAGTGTCAAACATATTTGTGTACAAAATGGGCATACATAAAAGTTGTTATTTCAGTCTCTCGTGCAGTACTTTTAATTACATGTTAATAAACTCGTGACTTCCATCTGTACCAAACATTTACATGTAAAGGAAAAGGAAAATAATTCATTACATACTTCAACAACCGAAAAGCCATCACACATTTAATTGCCCTTGAGAATGGTGGCCATCTGGTAGTATTTTCTGTGATGCAGGCCGACCAACCAAAGAACTGACAAAGGGCGAAGTCCTGAGAAAGCCAGAGGCGTCTTTTGCTAGTTAGCTAACCATTCACCCCCATCTAGTGCCGAAGTTATGAACTTCTTAGCACCCGGTTGTAATAAGTTAAATAATACCAGTAATAATATCAGACAGGTATAATTCCTTTAAGTCAAACCTCGACTATGTAATAGAAAAGGATGTCCTTATTCAGATGTGATCTTTTAGGAAACTGCATAACACTCAGAGGTTTGGGCGAAGTTCTCTGTCAGAAATTCGTGCAGAATGATTAAACAGCAACAAAAATCATGTTTAATTAGAATGTTAGTATTTGGGAATGCATTTCCAACATTCAACTCAAATTTAGAAGAAAGTTAATGTCTCTGCAGTTTAGTCGTGCTGTACGAGATTAAGTTAGTACATTAAATCCAGCTGGGGGTTTCTCGAGGACCCTGAAGTATCAAATTCTGAGGTTTATTTTGGAAGTTCAATATACACTGTTAGAGCACAAATCTCCAGTCTTGTTTACATTATTTCTCATTTCGGGCAAGAATATCAACGACTACCATTTTGTCTATTGTATATGGTACACATTTCATACGTAATTAAGTGCCATCTGGAATTTGAAATCTCTTTGTCAAACAAGAAGTAATTTGGCGAAACTTACAGTTCTCATGGAAAAGGATGTGAACATTGATTGATACTAGTCTCTAGTTGACCATGCTAATGACGTCAACAGATAGAGGCGTTGTCTGTGTAACGTCTAACGTTTGGATTGTTTTTCTTTGTTATTAGTAATATATGCTGCTGTGTTCTTTATACTTTCAAAGGTGTGTCAGCCGTAAGTATGAACGATGTATATCTAAGACAAGTAGACAGTTGTTGTAATGAGAATTAATGTGTTTTAAGTCATCGAATTTCGTGTGGTGTTCGCTATTCGGTGTGACTTGCAATTGCATATGCATATCTACAATTTATACATTTTCTATTCCAGTTTTTTACGTTAATTTTGAAGTAGATTTACCCGTTTCATGTCGACGTACTATGTAACACAGATTAGACCTAATATGTTGCATGTGTTAACAGACAGAGTTAGAAGCATGGCGGATCGCAAGGCAGAACTTGAAAGGAAGAAGGCAAAATTGCAAGCCCTTCGTGAAGAGAAGGAGAGACGTCGAATAGAAAAAGCGCAGAGAGATGTAAGTAGAACTGAAAATTTACTTTATGTCCCAAAGGAGAGTTATATAACATGCCGGGTACGAAATTTAGATATGTACATTGTCTAGGCGGAGGAGGTTGCAATCAGAGCTATCAGCACCGAAAAGGATCAGCAGTTAGAATTGGACCAGATGTTGAGCTCTCTTGGTGTTGCACCTGTTTCGGACGTTCTTTCGAGCCTTTCCAGTGGTCCAAGTCAGACACCAGAAGAGAGTGCAAATGGTACTCCTGAACCCAGCTTACAGTTGCATACATCTCCTGCTACAAGGTAAGCAATCTTTAGTTAGAGAAGCACAATGTATGCTGGAATTCTGATGATTATTACTAATAAAATAACCGTTGTGGTTAACTGAGTCGTACCATGTCAATTGAATAACTGAAGTATAGTTTTCAACCTTGCCTTTTCAGATTTCAATAAAGTTTGGCGTGTATATTGCCACATATCAGAAATGAATGTATGAAAAATATCTGATGTATAGCTGAAATATTTTATAAGTTATTGCTGTTCTGAAATTTGAATTACAGATGATCACAAATTTTGTTGTAACTTTGGTTCTTTGAAACATGTAGAGCTGACCGTAGGCTCATTCAAAGTTTGTGGAACAAGCTTTAAAATGATCCATTGTACCACTGCATTATCCCCCCTGAAAAAATTCAAGGACATTAAATATACTCTTTAACTTTTCTTTAGCTTCAGACAAGTAGAATACAATGTTGCACCAGACAAAACAAGGACAGAAAATTGTATGGTTACAGCAAGCGGCGAAGCAGT